TATCCAAGGCGCAGTTTCAGATCAAATTTTCTCGAGGATTGCAACACAAGAAAGTGCAAAGGCTACCTGGGACATTCTGAAACAAGAATTTGTTGGCGATAAACAAGTATGAACTGTGAAACATCAAAGTCTTAAGCGAGATTTTGAATAGACTCATATAAATGAGGATGAATCATTCTCTGTGTATTTGGCTAAACTATTTGATTTAATTAACCAAATGAGAAGCTATGGTGAAGATCTGAGTAATCAAAAAATAATGGAGAAACTGTTAATTAGTTTGCCTAAATTGTATGACAGTATTGTATCTGTGATAGAAAATACTAAGGATTTGGAGACCATAAATGCTCAGGATGTGGTTGCTTTTCTAAAAGGTTATGAGCAAAGACTTGATAGGCATGGTGAGAGTAGCACAGAAAAGGCATTTGCTAGCTTGAACATTGCATCTAAACCAAACAAGTTTAATGGTCAAGCTAACAATGGTAAATATCGGAAGATTTTTAAGCCAATAGGAAAACAGTGGAGTAATAAGGCTGATTGGAGCAATGAGGCTATTGTTCGTGTGAAAAATGATGCAAACAATACTGGAGATAGATGTAAGTTTTGTGATAAACTTCATTATGGAGAATGTTGGGTTAAAAACAAAGTTAGTGATAAACTTCATTATGAAGAATGTTGGGTTAAAAACAAAGTTAAATGTCACAAGTGCAATAAGATTGGTCATATTGCTAGGTATTGTAATTTGAACAAAGTTGTGCAACAAGTGAATTTTGCTCATTAGGTAGAGGAAACTGGTAATTGTTATATGCCAATCACTCTAGTGAAGTGAAGAAGCCAAATGATTTGTGGTACATAGACAATGGATGCAGTAATCATATGACATCCAAAGAGGATTTACTTGTTGATATTGACATAAATGTGAAAGCCAAAGTCCAAGTAGGCACTGGAGTTTTGGTTGACGTTGTAGGGAAAGGAACTTTGGTTATTGAAACAATGAAAGACAAGAAATATATAAGGGAAGTAATGCTTGTACCTAGTCTTGCAGAAAACTTGCTTAGTGTAGGCCAGATGACTAAGCATGGTTATTTTCTTTTGTTTGGAGACTATAGAGTGGATATGTTTGATGACAAGTCTCTAAGTAATCTGGTAGTCAATGTGAAACAAAAGAGGAATAGATGTTTTCCTTTGATCTTCAGTACAAACAAGGAGCTTGTATTGAGTACTAGTGTGCAAGAATGTGCAAAAATGTGGCACAGAAAACATGGTCGTCTAAATTTCAGGAGCCTCAAGTTATTGCAAAATCAAGGTATCATGTTGAGGCTGCTTGAAATCCAAGATAGTGAAGCTGTGTCTCAAGGGTGTGTACTTGGGAAGCATCACAGATAGTCATTCCCTAAGGAAACTACTTGGAGAGCACAAGAACCACTTGAATTGGTGCATTCAGATGTTTGTGGACATATACAGGTTCTAACCATGAATGGAAGCAGGTACTTCCTCACATTCATTGATGATTATTCAAGAAAGTGTTGGATCCACTTTATAAGAAATAAATCAGAAGTGTTTAGGATATTCAAGAAGTTTCGAGCCATGGTTGAACTGCAATGTGGTTACTAAAGAAGCTGAGAACTGATAGGGATGGAGAATTCACTTCCATTGAATTTAATGCATTTAGTGAATCAATTGGGATGGAAAGGTAGCTCAATGTGTCCTACACTCCATAGCAAAATGGAGTTGTAGAAAGGAAGAATGGAACTATAGTGGAAATGGCTAAAAGCATGCTACATGAAAATGAACTACCCTACAAGCTATAGGGAGGGGCAGTCAACACTTTTGTTTATCTATTGAACATGTGTCCTACAAGTGCATTAGACAATGTTACACCATTTGAGGCTTACAATGGAAGAAAACCTAGGATTAAACACCTCAGGGTATTTGGTTTTGTGTGCTACTCTCTAACACCTAGAAATCTGAGACGAGTGCTGAGGTATATACAAGACACTTTAGATTATGGCTTGGAGTACAAGAAAAGTTAAGGAGCAATGCTGTTTGGATTCTGTGACCAGTGATTGGAGTGGATCTAAAAATGATATGAGAAGTACATCTGGGTATACTTTCACATTTGGAAGTGGAGTATTTTCTTGGTCCTCAGTCAAACAACATTGTGTTGCACTCTTCACTGCATAGGCAAAGTATATTAGTGCTACAGAAGGCACAACATCTTGGTTGAGATTTGGATTGGAAGATTTTGGTGAAACACAAATTGTGGCAACATCATTGAATCGTGATACCACTTCAGCTATTGTCATCACCAACAACCCTATTTTTCACCAAAAGATTAAACATATCAAAATGAGGTATCACTTTATCAAGGAAGCTTTGCAAAATGAGATCATTGATTTGGGGTATTGTCCAACCAAAAAACAGGTGGCTGGCATATAGGCTATAGCTAGAGATCAATTCTGCCATCTCAAAGAACTGTTAGGAGTGAAATCAGTTCACAATTCAGGAGGAGTGTTGATTTGTAAATTGAAGAACTGATTTGAAGAGGATTACAAGTTTTAATTAGTGTAATGCTGCTGGTCATAAGCTAAGTTTATTTGATTAAAGTGTAATTAGTTTGTTAAGTCTCATAGGGCTTGATGAGTGATAAGTGTTCTAATCTCAGTATAGTATAGGATGAATGGCTGAGATTGATACTTGAGTTGTATCACTCTCTCCCCTCTCTAACGGTCATATTTTGTCTTGTATGAGCTCATATGCTCAGTGTGCGCGAGTTTTATGGAATGCAATGTAGAGTCATATTCTCTGTAATTTATGATCGAAAATTCTCCCTTTTCTTCTTCAAGTTTTATGTACATTCCTCCATAGCTTTCATCACCATTTCTTCCTAATTTTGTATCTGAGAACCATCACTAACAACTAGTACTAGTAAGAGTACTGGTGGTGTGACTATTGTGGGTCAGCCACAATACTACTACTGTGAAATAGTAACGTTACTCCCATGTCTTCGGAAGTTTTCGGTGTTTATGTTGGTCATTATTATAATCAGCACCAGCAAGAGCAGATCATTACCGACTTACCACGATACTGCTACTACTAACGAAACACAAGGTGCAATGGCAACGACTACGGTCTCATCATCGTCATTAGGTATAGCTGCTCGGCCAGATGATTTCGTTGCAAACGCATCATGTCTCCCGCATCAGCCAAACTCCGATGCTAGGCAAGAAGGCTGTCTTCAGCAAAACGGTGTGGATAGTGGTACAGGCTTGTCAACGTACCTTTACAACTCCAGCATACAAGAAGCACCAGCATGCCCTCAATTGCAATGTGGCATGGACCAAGACCAAACTGCAGCAGATTTTATTAACTTTGAGGCCCTCGTGAATGTAGATGACATATGTGCCTTGATCGAGGTTGATGCGATATGATGCGTGTCTTTCACAGAAGTAATTCTTTATTGTAATTACATTGTTAATGTTGAGAATGAATTCCACATTGATGGGAAAATGGATTATGTATGGGCTCATAAGAGGTTTGACTACTTCTCATGTTCCCAATTGGTTTTACGGTGAAACCCTAACTTTCTTCGGTTAATCCTTTTCTGTATGTGTAATAACACTTAATTAGGAAGACATCATATATATCGTTATTATTAAAGACATGACTTTCTTTTTTAATTTGTTGGTTCCACTAATTTGCGTTTTACTCAGCAAGTTAATGTTTAAATTACTTATTTAAGCACTTTTCCTTGAATGCTCAAATTAATGGAGTTCGAGAATCCAAGAAAAAGATGAATTTGGAGTGGTATGTTTGTTTGATAGAGATCATCATCATCTTACATCATCACCATTAGTCAGGAAATGGGGGTGGGTGAATTCACTAGGCTATAGTAATATTTAATTTTTTTTTTTAATTTATATATAAAGAGTTAATGTAATTTCTCAAACGGGACAATGTTTTGTAAAAAACATAATGAATCTCATAAGTGTAACTATCTATTTAGATTTTGGTTCAAAAGGACAACTTACATGAACAAATAAGTGTGGATATTGATGGAGGATTTCCAAAGTTGCTTGGTGGTCAATGTCTGGGTTAATTGGGGCCAACAATGTCGATATCATTATCATTGTTGCCAACAAAACATGCGAACGTTTTATCATACATTAATGAATCAATACAAACACAATAGTCATGTAAACATCCCTTCTTTCAAACCACATGCATTCTACACACAAATTTTTGATAGTTTATAGGCTTAATTGGATTATTATTTCCCGTGATGATATGATAGTTAGAAGGTAACCCCTATGGTAAAAAATTAGGATTTAAGCCCCTACGGTGAAATCTGTTAGGATTTAGAGCTAAATTTGAAAATTTTATCAACTCTACGTTAATTGTTTGCACATAAAGGCTCACCTCTAAGACTGAAAAAAAAAAAAAAGTTAGCCTCACATGTAACCCCACATGCTAACAATTAATAGTTTTGTTTAACCTAATATGTAATTAATAGAGAATTGTTGAAATTTTTAATTTTGGACCTAAATCCTAACGACTTAACCACAAGAGCCTAAATCATATTTTTTTAACCACATGAGCTATCTTCCAACTATACCATCTGGGACTAATAATCCAATTAGACATAATCTATATTAGGGGGGGTGGACGAGGGGCTGGGCCGGGCCCAATTTTTGAGGGAACAGACCAGACCCGTTCTAAAATGTAACGGGGCAAAGCGGGATGGTACAAGAATCCTAAACTTAGGAACCGAACCTAACCCGGCCCGTTTTACGGGACGGGTCCACCGGTCCAATTGCTTTTTTTTTGTTAAGAACAAATTGGTGGAAACCAAATTCGAAACTCAAACACCAGATTACGGGTGGCTGCCAAATTCAAAACTCAGTCATACACCAAAAATCTCAACCAATATCTCATCTCTACCGCATATAATAATAGAAACCAAGGGCTAATTAATTTAATCACAATCAGTACCGGTTTTAGGGTTAAAAACCACAACGAAATTAATTTATTCACAAGCAATTTGTAAGTGCAACCACGACATTTTTGAGTTAAAAACACTTAAAATTTCACCATGTCTGCAAATTTACACAATACATAAAAACTTCAAATCCCGAACCGTATGTACCCACCCTGACCCACAGGTTCAGGACCCGTTTGCCCATCCCTCATTTATGTGCCCACTTCCGAAACACTGATTTATATTCGACTACATTTCTTCCGTCTGACGGAAAAAAAGACTACATTTCTTTCCAGACCAAGAAAAGAAAAACAAAACTACATTTCCATATCAGATCAACCAACCACAATACCCAAATTTCTTTATCAACTATCAACAATTCTAACTGCAGCATTGGTTTTCCTTTTCCTCCTTTTTTTAGGGCGATAGGCGACATATCACATCACGACCATCATCGTCATCAAAACAAACTACATTTGTTTCCAAGATAAAATATACCTCAAAAAAACCAACTCAATATAAAACCTGCAGCAGCTAGCAGAATATCCAAGATAACAAAAACGATTTCCATAACAGTTTCCAGCGTTGATGTCCTCTTGTTGTAAGGAACCACCCTAACTGTCATTCTCACTACCATCAGTGAATTTTACACACCAGACAAAATCTTAAATGGTGTATGTACAAGCCCTTCTGTCCTAGGGTTGAAATTTTACCTGTATACAAAGCCGAGGTGAAAGTAAGTGCCTATGTAAGTACATATAGTAATTTTAACAGCGGTTATATGACCTAAAACTCTTGGCCTACAAAACTTTGCATCTCTGCAAACGTGATTTCCGGGTTCACAGCTATGGAACTAAGATTCATTTACTCTAATTACATTCAGTATAAAGGTGAAGCTACTGATGTAGTAAGTTGTCATGGCCTCTGAAAGAGAAACTGTGAGCTTCAAATGTATCCACAGAATGGAGATCCAATAAGATCTTATCGATGTTAAACACAATTTCTACGTACACAGCAACATAAAACAATTTGACATAAGAGGTAAAATGTGTTGGAGGAAACAAAGATATATTAAATGTTAGAAAACAAAAAAGTTATACAAGTGATTAACTTACATTTGGAATTTTATAACTATTCACTGCCAAAATCTTCATAACTTACACCTTCTGAGACGGTGTCCAATCTGTTATTGTCCCCTGTAAGAGTCACGGATCAAAATCAGAAAGCCCCTTGCAGTGTAACAAGGAAAGATATGTCAGGTCCTCACCTTGATGTTCTCTGTCACGAGAATCCAGGAAGTTGTTATTATCTGTAGCCAAGAAGGGTGATCTAGGATAGCTCTCCAGTATGTCTAAAACATTTAGAACAGGGATGATTAGATAGAAATTTCTCATGTTTAGCGTAAAGACTTCTCATGGTTAGTGTTTAGATAAAAATTTCTAGAGAGAGAGAGAGAGAGAGAGAGAGAGAGAGAGAGAGAGAGAGAGAGCACCTGAACTCTGAGAAAAGTCAGTTGCAAGATCCGAAAAGCTCAAGATTCGAGGAATCTGACCTAAAAGACCAAATGATGAACTGTCTGCATCAAGCAGAGATTCATTTAGGGACTGTGAATTGGACTCTACGCTATTGAATGCTGCAACAGAAGCATCTCCAATAGCGGGCCGGGTTTCCAGGATGTTTCCATCAGCACTAAACATGTACGAACTGCCTGAATATCCAACTTCTGATTTGACAATTCCCCCATTCATTCCATGCATCAGACCTATGTTGGAGATCTGGTTCGAAAGCATGTTTGGTTGGACATCAATCCTACCGGTATGAGCAGACATTTTACCAGCATTGTGCATACTGATGTGCAATGAAGATCCACCATTAGTAAAAGCATTATGTAGGCAAGAACCAACTTGGTGGTGTATATTTTCTGTCTTCAGCGCTGTTCCTACATGCTCTGGTGCATAGCATGTTGAGTTTTGGCGCACTGTGAGAAAAAGTATTACATTGTCATTTTTTTTTCAAAGTTATTACACTGTTATACCCTCAGTTCGAGCATGGATGACATCTAAAAGCAAGAATAAGAAATTGAAATGAAACATGTGATCATATGGAGTAAGAGTTGCCTAGAGGATGGGAGAGGGTAGAAGGGCAAAAGATTTTAAGGAGACAAATAGTAGTCGTTACGTCTTGGTATTTAGGTTGTGCGCATCACTGTTTACTCATACAGAATTAAATCCATAGATTTCATAAGAAATGTTGCCATATTAAGTAATACCAAGAGAAAATATTTAAGTGGTTGAATTATTTATACTGAGGCCCTACAATTTAACTGCTTAAATTGAAAATGCAACAAAATACCATGAAATCAGGTTACGGGAACAGATCTCTTGGTCCTGTTAATCTGTAAAAACTTTTTAAGACAAAAATCTGTAACCTTAGTGATGATATATTTCTAAATGGCAACTATTATTCCTATATGCATAATGAAAACTTAATTAAGAGAAAAATCTGTAACCTTAGTGATGATATATTTCTAAATGGCAACTATTATTCCTATATGCATAATGAAAACTTAATCAAAAAGCTGTTTAAGGTAAAAAGAGAGACCAACGAAGAGGGGGGGGGGGGGGGGGGGAACTAGTCTTCATGCAAACTACATCAAGCATTTAATTGTGAATTATCCAAAAAATAATCTCAAAGCAAGTATACAAACTGATTAGCCCCTCACTACTTTCTTTCTTCCGATCTATTACATTGCTTATTTTAAGAGGCATACCATTACTGTGAAATAACCAAAACGACATGTTGACAGATCAAAACCCACATGAATCTATAAAGCTTCATTTGCACGGATACAAAAAAAAAAGCCCCTAGCTTAAGCATAATAAAATTTCCATCTAAGTGAGAAGAACTCTTACTTGATGAAATGTGAGATCCATTGGAACTAGATATTGAAGTGACTCCACTTGAGTGTAACTGACTCATCAATTCCACCTGTTGCTTAAGCAAGTTGTTATATTCCATTATTTGGTGCTTCACCATCAATCTTAAATAATACGCCCTGAAGAATTCCCGATTCTCTTCCTCAAGTTTCTGCCAAACTGGAAGTGCAGCCGGAATTAATGTAAAGATGAGCATACAAACACAGAGAACATCACTCAAAAATTCTCTAACTATTGACACAGAGCAGAAATAGTTAAAAATAAGTTAATATTGGATATTAACATTTCATAGTCATTGCAATATAATTATACAACAAAAAAATTCATTAATGGGACAGTTCAGAATATAAAGTTTCCTGCATTGGAGATTAATCATTTCGAAATCACTGCAGAGAAAATTCAGATTCGAAGGATTATAAGTTAGGTTTCTCATCACCACTGATCTCTCAATGAAAAAGAATAGATCTATAAGTTACAGCAACTTTGATGGCTAATACAAGACTAAAAAGTCAAAGTCCACCAGATTGGCTAATAAAAAGAAACACTGCAAGCAAGAAGATCAAACTTCCAACTCAGAACAGAAGGCAATAAAAGTTGATGGCCCCATTGAGAAGAACACAACCACTATACAAAAGTAGCCAAAATGGCTGAAAAAATACCCAAGAGAAAAACCATTCTGGCATGCTCAATAAGTTATGCCTTTGGGGGCCATAAAAAGAAGCAAACCAATTCTTTGTGTAATGTTCAGCTTGCAGAATGTTATAAAACACTTTGTGAGTGAGGGGAGAAACAAACAAAAAAAAACATAAAGAAAAAGAATTTCAGATTAAAGGAAAACATCAAGAAGGTAACAAAGTACAACAAATAAGAAAGAAAGCGATAAAGAGTACTATAGGATATCATCTTACCAAGTTCTGTGAAACCAGGCTCTATTTTTGCCTGATCCAGTAAAGTATCTACCACTTCCTTCTGGTTCATGTAAAGCTGGAGACATCGCTCGATAAGGTTTTGCACCTGAAAATAGACAAACATTTTGCATGTTCAACTTGAATGAAGGGATATAACAAAAAAAGGAATTATAGTAACTTCTACATTTAGTTGAGTGAACAAAGGAAGCGTGTAGCCATTACTTGCTTTATCCTCCCTTGACTCCAACCCATTAGTCAACTTAATTAGAGATCCTCTCTTTCACGATTGTTTTAATTTCCCTAAAGTAGTGGATGAACTTATAAAGACCAATTTGCTTGAGATTACAATTTTAACTTTTCATCACATTTTATTCATGTAATAATTTAATTTTTATTTCTGGTTAGTTGCTTTAATTAGTCTTATATTAGGCTTATGTTTTTATTTTATGTATGAGATGACAGAAGCAGTACTTGGCTTGTTCAATTTCTTAAGCATATAAACTTTGCACACTTAGCACACTTAGCAATATGCTAAGACTTGCTTTTTAAAGCATCTAATTTCTAATCCCATATCAGATTTGGAGAGCTTGTTAGAAGTGGGGAATACACGTCAAATATCATATTGGAGATAAAATGGATTTTATATAGAGGTTCATTTAACAAAAAAAAATTAAATAAATTTATCTAAATGTAACAAACATCACTTTAGCTTTGACAGTTAAACATTCATAATTAATCTTATATTTAACTCTCTAATACTCAATGTATTTCAAACTCCTAGAAATTGTCAAACTTTAGAGTTGATTTAGTTTTGTATTCTATTTTGTATTAGGATTTCTTTCCTAGAATAGGTCTACTTTGCTGCAGTCACTATGTTGAGGCATTATAAATAGCCTTGTAATTCCAATAATTAGAATAACAAAGAGTAGATGTATAGAAAAGTTTTGTTTTCCAGAGATTGGAATTCTAATCCTGCGATGGGATTACTTTGGAGAGAAGCCAAAGGTTTGGTTAGATGCCAAAATTCTCAGTGAGAGGCCAAGAACAAGTATGATGCCCCTCGAGATATTCCAGTTATCTTTAATTTTCATTTAGTTTCAATTTTATGCGTTTTTTTCACTTCCACTAAACTACTCGAATCTAAACCCTGTTGCCCAGTTCTGTACTACATCAAGAGAAACCAAGATAGAGCTACTATGAAGAAAGGTCGTGAAAATTCACTTGGTTACCTTGCACTTTGTCAACTACTTACATTTTACATCCCAATAAATGATTTCACACAAGAACTAAGATAAATTATACATGGACACTTAAGGGAAAAACAAGGAATAGAAAAGAAAAGATGTATTATAACAAAGCACTGTGTTGTTTTCATTTTGCAACTTTGCATCAGAAAATATATCACAGTCGCTGTTCCACTAATATAGCCTAGTTTAAATGGTTTAAGTTTTTCCTTTTTGTATTTTTTAACAAAAAATACAAGCATAAGTGGGTAATCTATGATATAGGTCATCAACAAAAATCCAGTTCAACAACTTACCAGTTGTATATCTTCACGTGAGACCCGTCTAATGGATCCACTAGACATATTCCAAAGTTCCAGTAGGAAGATTCTTGTGTAAGAAAGCTACGCTGATTGATTTTTAAACTTATAAATGAATCCTTCTTGGTTGTAAAACAAATGCCACAGATGATCAGTGAACTTCGAGACTGATGGATTCTTCACTTCAGCTTTAGATATATCATATACACATAAATGTGATGCACCAACCTGATGACAAAGAAAAAAAGGGATTCATACTAGAATTAGCTCTTCAAATTTATTGGTTGAAAATTAGCGCTTTACCAATAATAGAAATTAAACAAAAGGGCCCAGGCATTAACATGGCATCAAATACTGTATAATATGTGTTTCAAAGAGAGCGAGAGCGCGTGCCTGTGCACACAGCCTATACATAACAAATTTCTAGAGAAACATTTAACAAATAACAAAAATGGCAAGCTACATCTTCGTTGACATAGAAAAACAAAAATGGTCGAATTATTCATTTCCCTAATTACATCTCTTGTAACAGTAAAATTTTAAGTAGTAAATTGTTTATGAACCTGATTCCCTAACTACCACTTCTCATATTAGATCTAAGCATTTATCTGCAATGGGATCATGAATGAAATATCCGTTTCAAAAAGGTACTTACTGAAGAATACACTTCCACACCACCCAATTAACATGTCAGAATCCTAATGCATTAGAATATTTAAGTACTATCTATTTCTCCAGCCTTCCCAAAAATCAGCGAAATCAAAGAACCAAAAAAAGACACCGACTGAAAGTTCCCTGCTGTACTAACTAATTTTATTTTACATAAATCAAAACATGAATAAATGATTGGCACCGTGACACCATATAAAATATTATTCAATACTAGGATTGTATTGCTTGTTCCGTTCACAAGAACGCCGCGAAAAATCACATATTCCTCACATGCACGTACAGAATAACTTATATGGGATGAAATTAAAAATGGAGTCCAATCAGAGAAACAAAAAGTATTTACCAAAAGAGGATTCAATATATGGTATGGGAGTACACCAAAACCAATTAGAGTTTCAAATTCTCGAAAAATTCCCCCTACTGGGAACCACAGAGAACTCAGAGCGATTTTCTCTTCAACCAAACAGACTATTAGGTTAGGGTTTGATCAATTTACATCACCGAATCAATCCCAACCAAAAATGATTTTTTTTCCATGATTACATGAAATTACTAAAGCAAAACCCTAGACAAATCGCCCCAATTACAGAGACTGATAAATACAGACCGATACATACACAATCACACACATGCAACACAATCACAATTCCGAAACCAAAATACGAAACATCAAACCAGAAAAAAATAAATAAATAAAAAAAATATAAAAAAAAAAAGGGGAATCTCTTGGAACAATAAGGTGGTTTGCAGCTGATCTTACCAGAATTCAGTGGAGCTTTTGGGAAAGTTCCAGGGCTTTTACTGGGAGAAAAAGCTTTCGAGAGAGAGAGCGCCTGATCAGAGAGAATTGGAAAGTGTAAGGTGACGAAGCTCTCTGCTTTTGATCGTGGAACTCCTCCCCCTCTCGCTCCACAAAGCTTTTGCTAATTTGTCTTTTTTTTTTTTCTTTTTTTTTTTGCTGGGGCGAAATAGACTGGGCGAAGCGGGGATTCGCGCCACGTGGCGGTAGCGGAGAGTGGTGGGGGGTCCTACAGTATGCGATCAGGTTGAAGGGGACTTGTATTTTTTTATTTATTCTTATTTATTTTTAACTTTATCCAATCATGGAGAGAGAGAGAGAGAGAGAGAGAGAGAAGAGGTTTCATCAAAAATCATTACCAACGCTGTTTAGTCATTGACTGCTTTGACCAGCAGTGAAATCGTTGGCTTATCATGGTCTGTGAAGAAATGAGAGCAACCCTACCTCTAAAAATCTCCAAGTCAAGATTCAATTCAATTCTTCCAAATAAATAATAATTAACTGCAATAAATAGTAACGGTACAATTGCATTTTCACTCTTAAAATGAATTGGCTAGTCAATTCATATTAAAATATATTTTTTTTAAATAAAAATATATATTTTTAATTTTGGATAAATTTTTTTATCAATATTATCACGCAACGTGTCATTATCCGAAAGTACAATTTTGGTGTGTTTATGTAATTTTATTTGATGTATTTATGTAATTTTATTTGGCATATTTTTTTAAGTTTATTTGGTATGTTATGTAATTTTATTTGGTGTGTTTTTGTAATTTTTTTTTTTTGGTTGAATAAACATGCTCTTAATTTAAATAAAGTACCCAATTTAATAAATAAGAAATTACATAAAGTATTAAAAATAAATAAAAAATTAAATAAAGTACTAAAAATAAATACGAAACTACATAAAATACTAAAAATAAACACGAAATTACATAAAGTACTAAAAATAAATAAGAAATTACATAAAGTCTGAGTATTTAGGATATGTGGTGCTAGGATCTTCGTTTCTAGGATTTGTGTAGCTGGGACCCCCTCCACTTGTTCCCTCATTTCTTGCACGCCTCCTTCGCTCCATGTCCTCTTTTTCCGATGTCCATAAATATTTAGAATTCGGAGACATTCCTTCTAGAGGCTTGTTCATAGATTCACGATCTTGTTGAACCATCCTTTCTTTTCTAAGCATCTCCATTTATTGATTAAGTAGTTGTCTTTGTCTCTCATCAGCCGCATCACGTCTCTCAGTTGTTACTAAGATTGCTTGCATATTTACAGCTTTTGCCTCATCTCTAAACGCCTCTCACACCAAGTTCAATTCACATTGGCAAGCAAGTTCGTCCATATATTTGTATAGTCACTTTTGGAAGAACTCCATTTTTTCTTTGCTGCCTTTTTACCTTTAGGCCTTGACTCCAACACTTTTTCAAGCGTCCCTTCCAACATTTCAAATGCGTCACCTTCATGTTGGTCCAGGTCTACTTATGGCGAAGAGTGTAGAGGGATGATGTGCATGACAACTTCTAGACCAGTTGGCACAAATTTGTATCTGGGACAATCTTTGACAACATTTCAACATTCCCAGCGATAAAATGATTTGTTTTTGTTGTTCGAATTGTACTAAACTTGTGCTTGAAGTGTCTATAAAATGCGGGAGAAGACAATTTTATAATCAAGGTAATTAATGCTAGATAATACAATATTATAAAGTGCAGGTATAATACAAATAAATAAATAAAAATATTGTCACATGATCCGCTAAACTTCTGTCACTACTCAGATTATTGGCAGCTTGAGAGATGGCCTTTTTCCAACAAGTAAACGATTAGTTGAGTTTTTTTTCCAACGACCTTGAAGACCTTGAGCACTTCTTGAGCCTTTTACAAGCTTCTCACAAAAAGATGTAGTAATTTTACTCCAAAGTTCTCGCAATTGCATCTCATTACCCGTAAGCGGGTCATAAGTAACTTAAACCCAACATTCACACAACGTAACATCTTCGGTAAGCGTCCAATTAGCCATTTTTTTGCATACAAAAGTATATGAAAACTTTGTGAAAGTGTTGAAAATATTGAAATGTGGTGTTGGGTGGAAGATAATGGTTAGATATTTATAAAAAAATAATAATAAATTTCATTTTATTTTTTATGTATTTTTAAAAAAATTTTATTAAGTTAATTAATCTGGACCTTTGAATTTCAAAAACATCAAAATCCAACATCCCAAAATTGGACACGTGGCCAACGGTAAGATTTTTGACATTTTCGTTTTTCTTTTCTAAAATATTTTGGCAGAAAAACATGGATCGTTGATCTACAAATCGAATGGTCCAAATTTTGCCACATCACTAGCCATTAGATGTCAAATTCAAATTTTTTTTACCGTTGGAAATCCAACGATCGTGCCTCGTGGCCTAAGTCATGCGTCCCCATTAGTGCACTTGCAGCATGGGCCCTCATTTGCCCATTGTCGGGAACGCATGCGTGTTTCCCATGCGCTAGTTGTAAAAAAAAAAGTTAATTCACATGGCTGACGTTAGCCTGGCGTCATGTAGGCTGATTTTTGGGCCAATCAATTCTAGGTTGGGCTCAAAGCTGGCATCCACTTTGGGACAACTAATTAGATAGGGTGGAGTGGGTTTTTTTTTTTTGGGGGGGGGGGGGGGGGGGGGGGGGGCTAGGGGAAAAATGGGTTGCTACCTAGCTTATTTGTGGAGGGGTGGAGTTGCTCTGAGTCGAGTCGTCAGCAAACTAAACTGTCCTGGTGTGTTTTTTATAGTGCTTGAATTTTAGGGCATGTTTGTTTGCGATTACTAGATCTTCTTGAACTAGACTAACTAATAGTATAGTATCGTATTTGTTATTCATATGGACTAGCTTTGATAAGATTACAAGGGACTCGCCTCGACTAAATGCCATATTAAATGGTCTTAATGGGACCTCTTCCCCCCATCCCTGAAGAATAGAGGGCTGCTAAAACCATGGATTACAATCTCGTTTGCTTCACTTCGCCAAAACCTGGTAGCGCAGATTGATTGGATGTTCTCTTCCTCGAGCGAATCCTCATATCAGTTTCTTCTTTTAGGTCTCATTTCTCTCTTTCTGTTTCTTCTGTTGTGATGGTTTTTCTCTTTCACACACCGGCAATAGTAACTCCCATTCTCCATCACACATCAGCACCAGGAGCTACTCCTCTTCTCCTGTCACCAAATTAGTCAATTTCCTCGTTGGGTTTTTAATTCAGACCAAAATTTCAATTGGGTTTTCTATGCATATCAAAATCTCAACAAACTCCCTTATCCATCTTCATCTTTTTACTGTCGTCTTCTTGTCGTTGTCTTTGTGTCATCTCCTCCATCTTTTTATTGGAGCTTGTATTCAATTCGAAATCATCGTTACTGATCCCACCATCATTGCGAAATTTGTATTTGGGGTTTTTGGTTTCTCAGCAACCTAGGTGTGATTTTCTTTAGAAAGCAATGAATTTTTCAATCATCTTTAGACTACTCATGTAATGGACTAGAATTCTTCTAACTAAGCTATAAAAACTGCATTCCTTTTCCATGGTGGTTGTGATTTGTGCGAGAGAGAAGTGATTGTGGTGACTGGCAGGGCGAGGTTTCAGTTTTTTTTAAAGGCAAGCTAAATTAAAAAAGGCAAAATAAAATATATAATATGTAACTTAATCCAGCACCGCATCAAATGCTTCAATATTTTTATACTGTTTAGTCCATGCCAAGCCAGTTCAAAAGTCCCTAAACTTAGTCCAATCTGAGATAGTGCACCCTAACAATTGGAGCCTTACAATACATTTTAACAAGAGAGAAATAGAGTGAGGGTTTATAGAAGGGGCATGCAAGGAAGATCATATTTTGTAAAACACATAAAATCTCTCTAATAGAGGTAGGATCTACAATACAAGTAGATGTCACTTTTCTGAAATCGATGGTTTACATGTGGTCCACAAAACATAATCTCCCCAACATTTTCCTTACCTAAATTCATACGAAACCTTGATCCTTGGTCTTGAAGTCATTATTATCTCTTTTAAGTAAACTTGATCCTTGGTTAGATAACCAAATAGATCCCACGCCTAATTCAGTCATCACCACCACCAGCTAAAAGTAAAATTGCTCTTATGTTCCAAGACTTGAGCATTTATGTTCCCTATCATATTTGTATTGTGTGGTAGCAAAATTCAGCCATATTCAGTATTGACGAAATTGTACCTACAAAACAAAATAAAACCTTTGATCAAGGCCAAAACCTCACGCGTTAATGAGGTGGGGGGGTTTGGCTAATGGATCTCCCATGTCTAAGTCAGTTTCTCTGAAAAGAGAGAGGATTTTAGGACTTACGTGCGCAACAAAAACTTATCATACATTAGTGTTGATGGAGTATTTATAGGGAGATGGCCGGCCATGAGTTTAGGCACTGTTTTAAAATGGGCCTAGGCACGGATGGTCAGTTACTGCTGCGATTTACTCCTAATTAGTTACAAAATCAGAAAGCATATTAAAGCTAATGTCTAGGTGGGATTAGACGGAGTTGGGCGCGCCTAGGCGGGGTTGGACAGTGACTAGGTGGAAACGTCGGAATTTAGAAAAAAAGAATATTGCAGAGTCTGCGTTGAAGTCGCGCATGGAAGCACTTTTTTTTCTCTTTCATTAACCCACCTTTTTTCCTCGTTTTTATCTCTTTAAGATGGTCTCACCATCTTCCCAATTCATCCTTTTATATTCTTTTTTATTAACTCCACATCCGACTCCTTTTTCACCCAAAAAAAATTATTTTCTGAATCTTTTTTTTTTGTGAAATTTGCAGAAAGGATGATCAACGGAGGAAGGAGAGACGACGTTGTGAATGTGATACATCTAACGGTAAAGAAAGAAATGTGCATATGGTCATGTGAAGCTCTCCCACAAAGAGTAGTAAAGCCTAACATCACAATGGGCTTTTTATGTAATCAAAATGGCCTGCTAGGGTTTGATCCATTAGTTTAGTAGTTTACTTAATTACTAATCCACATTTTAAGTTCATGCTCCATTAGTTTGATTAATTAACGTTGATAAAGCTAAAAGGTAATGGACTTGTTAAACTGAAAATGGTGTTATCCACACTTATTTTTACCTCTTATACACCTTATTTAATTTTGGTTGTCAGATTGAATGAATTGAAAAAATAAATTTAAGGACATAAATTAAGAGGGGTTTGTGGGGTAAAAAATAGCATGTGGATAGTACCACCCAAACTTAATTGGCATGGGTTTGACTGTGAGGATTCTCTCTCATTCATGTTGTGGGAGAACTGCTATTTACAATGACATAAGTGAAGTGTTGGGAGTAATGTCACGACCTGTTCCCGGTTTAAAAGATGCATTAGAGGCAGAACAGGGGTGGTCGGGTGTGCTTTAGCTTTTACCGCAATTTAGAGAATGTTTTTAGCGAAAATTATAGGGGCCTTGCCACCTACAAGGCTCTTAACGCACCTCAACTCACATGAGAAAAAAGACTTGGAGGAAAGGGTTTTATGGGAGGAATTTTAACGTTTGAAGACCGGACTCAAAAACTTTGACCCACTGTTGGTCCCACCTCCTTCTCACACCACGCTAAATCGAGCTCCCGCACAGAAGAATTTCTCATTTTAGGAACAGTTGTACGATATTGAAATCGAGGAGGATGTGAAAGATATGCTCTTTTTGTTTTGATTTCAGACTCAGGAGGCAAATGATGTGTTACATGCTTTGCAATTAGGTGACTGCTTGAGCTTGACTTGAGTCTTGAAGAGTTTGAACCTTTTATTTGTATTTTTTTTTTTTAATTTTTGACCAAAAAAGAATAATTTACACTAAATTTATAAAAATTAAGATTTTTTTTAAATTATTATTATTAAGAGAAGGGAGAAGGTTCGAATCTATTATAATAAATTAGGAGAGAGAGCATCCAACTCAAAATGCATGCGGAAACTCAACACCTTATCCACTAAAAGATTTGACTACATACATCTAAATTAAAATTCAAACTTAAAAGAAAACACACTGCTCTTTCCAATTTGGCTAAGCCCAGATCTAGAGTCTTATATTCAGGCTGATTATGAATTGAATGTACCCATCGGTCGATGTTTATTAGAAAGAAAAAAACAGAAACAAAAGAAGGAAACAAGGAAGGAAAACACTGTCGATCAACAACATCCAGTAATCTTGTTTCATATACATGATTTATTTATTTAACTTTCTACTTTATGTCATTAATTTAAGTAGCACAACAAAATTAGAATGAACTATTTCCATGTAAATTGTATACATGAAAAAAAAAAGAAAAAAAAAAAAAACCTTTACACTCATTTCGGCCGGTGTCAACCAGCAACTGAAATGGGAAAAAACGAATATGGGTAATAGAATTACACAGTTCAAATCACAAGGAGAAAAAAAATTTGGACACCTTCATCAATCAAACCAGAGTGGCGATTCCGCTGTATCTTGGTCTAGTTCTTTCAGGTGAAAACCCCTCTTCCACGGGCTTCCTCTTGTTACTGTTTGGCGGTATCGGTTGCGGTTGCGGTTGCGGTTGTTGTTGTTGTTCTAGTTCATGGTGCTCCCGCTCCTGCTCCTGTGATCGAGTCTCTGAGCTTTCAGATTCATCTTCTTGTTTTTCTTGGTTTTGATTGTTGGACTTGGTTTTCATCAAATGGGGTCTAAGCCTACTCAAGTCTGATAATCTCACTGGCTTTAAAAAAAATTCTTCTGCCCCTTCTTCCAAGCATCTGTTATTAACCACATAATTGATCAGTTAAACTTTTCTGAAATAAAATTTCCAAATCTTTACAATACTCTATTGGCTATCTAAGAGAGAGAAATTGCAAACGGAAAAGGTTGCAATTCAGGTTTGTTCTTTTGTCCTCTGTTACCTGTTGATTCTTGAAGGCACATTCTCAGATGACATGATCACAACAGGTATGTTCCTCAGAGATGAAGACTCCTGAAAAATAAAAATAAAAATTCCTATAAACTTTTTGGAACCTGATTTATTTTGGGATGAAAAATTGATAGGGAAAATATTCCAGGAGATTTTAATTGATATTTCAAACCTAAGTGGGCAACTCGCCAATTCTAAGACGGAGTACGGTTCTCTCTCCTCTCCCTTCTTATTTAAATCGTTATGATGAAATCAGCAGCCTATATTAATTTTTTTTATAGAGAGATAAAAGACAAAAATGGAAGTGCAAGATAATGAGAGGAGAGGGTAGGAGAATAGGAAACTGTACTGGACAGATGGAAGGAAGATCTCAATGGGGAGAGAAAGATTGAGTAAAAGAAAAAAGTAAGGGAATAGGAATACAAGAAAATAAACGAATAAAAAGCACACCTTGATTTTCCTGAGCAAATCATATCCTGTCATTCCAGGCATACAGTAGTCCGTAATTACAAGATTCACTCCCACTTCCTGCACAACCACAGCAAAACAAATCAAATTTAGAAGCCCATATTTTTTTATATAATTTCTTCACACAAAAAGAAGGAAAAATAGAGAGAAAATTAATTAAAAGCTTGGGAATTTGGGACATTGAGAGTAGACTGGAGAAGAACATAGTAGTACCTGTTGATTGTTTGGGGAAACAGAAGGTGAATATGAACTGCTTTGAGCATCCTCGTACAAACCCAGAAACTCTAAAGCCTTACTACCAGAATCAACTGTAGTAACTGCATTCAACAATCAAAACCCAACATTAATATAGTAAAACAATGAGAACCCAACACTTGGAATTTCATCAGATTTTCTCTCTTTTGTTCTTTTTTTTTGGAATGACGGAAAATCGAACTCAGAACCTCGAGCGCAGAGGATTTATTTACCTTGGTACGATGAGGTCTTGAGGAGCCTCTCGATCAGCTTCCGATCGATGACGCTGTCATCAACAGCTAGAACATGGAACTGTGAGTCTGTGGCAGCCATCCCCATTTCACACAGATGAAGATGAAGGTTCAAGAACAAAGCAAATACCAAAAGAAATAGCTAGATGTTTATTTTATATTCTTGTTTTTGTATGGTGGGTGGTGTTTTTCTATGGGAGGAGGAGGAAATGAGAAAGAAGGGAGGTTTGTTGTGTTGAAATATGGAGAGGAGGAAGACCCACCAATATCCACATCCCACCAAGCAAGATCCGACCAGATTTCATCCCAAATCTTGCAATTTTTTTCCAAATTGATTTTTGAATTACATGGCAAGCAATGGAAAAAGAAAAAAAGAAAAAAGAAGGATAAATCTAATTTAATAATCCCAATGAAATGAATAATATTTAATTATTGGTTGACAGGCTAAGGGGGTTGGTGGGTTGTATATATTTATGCAAATCACTAAACATATGAGGGGTATATAGGGAACTATATTTTGTAAACCAAATAAAAAGAAAGTTGATAATTGAATTATAATTTAAACGTTAATAATGTACTTAATTTTATTAATAACATATTGTTTGGTTTGTAAATTTTATTTATATATTTAGTCTTATTAAAATTATACAAGCAAAGAGAGGTTTTGTGAGAAGGAGGTGGATTGTCTACTCTTCCATTTCCATATTATTCTCATCTGTTTGTGTGGACACAGTTAAGTCAAGTCAACATTTTATATTGATTTTTTTATAAAAATAATAAAACAAAAAGTAATAAGAATATAAAATATTGACGTAGCTTAATCGTAACCATATAAAACAGAATAGAATGAGAAAAATATGAAAATGGGAGGGCAGACAATCAACCTCCTTGTGAGAAAATAGAAAGTGCCAACCAAAGGGTAAAAAGTTGGAGGAGTGAGAGGGGTGTGGCGGGGAAGGTAGGGGCCCATGAAATTCCTCCCAAGAGATACGGGTGACGTCAGCAGAGGTGCCTTTTTCCCTGGGTGTGGAAATCATGTGGCGCTCGCCATATCTCAAGCAGGTGGGGAGTGGTGGCAAAGGAAAGCAGGCAATTTCTTTTTATTCCCTTTTAAGATTTGCTTCCCATGGCATGCATGATCATGTCACCATGCCCACACCCAACACGCCCATGCAGACATTCAACATTATATTCGTTGGATCCAACTCGAATCCTCTTTGGGAGGATCTTAAGAATCATCACATCATATTCATTCATTGTATATCGTGTGGTTAAAAATTATTTTTTATTTAAAATTAAATACAAACAGTACCTAACTGTGGAGCAAAAAATTATCGAGAAAAATATGGAGGCGATACGTGGATTCTAGGGTTAAAAGGACAAAATTACCTTTGAGGAATACCAGAACTCCTACGCGCGAGCAATGGACAATCATTACTCAATCAAGGTCAAAAGTGCTCAAAATAGGTAATCATTCAAAACCTATTTCATCCATCCTCATCAAATCTTCTCCACAAGGTAACCCTCAAATCATTCATTTCAAATTATATTAATTAGCTAATTAATTTATTAATTAGGTAACAAATTATGAATCACACCCAAAAAACCATCCAAGTGGCCGGCCATACCCCTATAAATACTACCTCATTTTCTCCAAAATTCAATTCCAACTCTCTTGCAAAATTCTCTAAATTCTCCAAACACTTTTCTCTCAAAATTCTAACTTTTGCATCGGAGTTTCTTCGGCCAAAGCCCCCTCATTCATTGTGGGTGCGTGAGGCTCTTGACCTTGACCTAATGTGTTATTTGTTTTGTAGGTGCAATTTTGTCCAAGAATAAGAATGAAGAAATTTGCATCCATACTAACGATTTCTAACCGTAAGATATACGATGAATAGATAGAATATGAGGATCCCTATGATCCTGACAAAGAGGATCCGAAAATGATCCTCATCCCCTTTTCAAATCTTAGTCCAGTAAATTCAACTTACCACTTGTTTTGGGAACATAAAGTACATATATCAATAATAATAGACATTTCATATTGTGTCACGTAAAGAGATTTAGCATGCAGTGTAACTATTACACCGTCACATGGTATTAGCAATCAACATGTTATATGGATGAATCACATAGTTGATGGATTAGGGCAAGTCAAAGGGTATAATATTATTTAAGATATTTACTAACTCCATTCACTTGGCGTACTATATAGGAGTGCACGGGCGATCTTGAAGGTGAGTGAAATGTATCATATGCAAGTTACGTGATGAAAGAAATGTGAATGACGATATATCCTCGACTATTTAGTAGAATCTCCCCACGTTATGTGCAATTTGATGGGTTTATTCTTGAGATTTGTAAAATGGGTAAACTAAATCAAGGTCTTCGAATATTTGACGGTGATTAAGTTGTTTGATTTTTTTAGTTACATTGAATTTTACCATGCGTCAATTTGAATATTTACAAATCACTCACTAGTGATCTCACTTTTTATGTAAAAAGTTGAAAGAATTATAGAAGGAATTTGTAGTTAAGTGGTTAAGAGTGTTTAACTTTGCAATACAAATTTGATGGGGCTTTGCAATAGAAATTCCGATAGGGCTTATATATCTATGAATCACATCGTTGATGTGTCAAAAAATTTAAATTGATATGCATCAATTTCTTAGTTAGATTCATAAACATAGAAATTAAGAATTTTTGCATTGAAAAAAAAAAAAACCTGAAATTTGGTTCCTCAAATTCCAAGTTTAAATTTCATATAATTAATTGTCATTTTCAAATTTCCATGAATAAGAGTTTAAATATAAAAAAAATACAAAAAAACTCAACTATGAGTGGCTACCACCATCATTGTCACCATCACGGCTGATGCCACCACTCATACTGGTGTCTCCCCCGCCAATGTTGCCACCACCACCCACCGTCATCACCACCATCGCCACCGGCACCGGCACCGCCACCACCCACCATCATCACCGCCACCACCACCACCACTACTAGCACATTTCTTAATTGCTATATCACATTTATATATTAATGATCCTATACGCACAATATAATCCGTATTTAAATACCATTCTCCTTTTAGGTTAACCAAACAGAAACATTCACTAATTCTGAAAAGTAAAATCCGGACATTCAATTTTTTTTATTTTAAAATTCCTTAACTTTTTAAAATTTTATCATCCAAATGCAATGTAATATTTTCAATTTAACGTGATACCTTATAAAATTATCGCGATTATAGGTAAAAGGCGGAGTTATAAACCAATTAGAAGAAATCCAACACATGGAAAGAGATTGATCACCTTTATTATAGTGTGGAGAAAATAATTGCTCCTAAAATTACTCGATATGTTATGGTATTATTTTTCTTGATCCAAAACATTGTATTTATCAAATATAGCCAAAATTCCACCTAAATAGATACAAATAACCTCAAATTTAATAATAAAATAAATTAAAGGCTTTTTAGCTAAAATGATTCGTGACTTTGATACAACTCCTTAATCTGGTCCTTAATAATTAATGATAATCAATAGTAGTGTTCTTGAATTTATCTATCGTGAATTATTTGAGTTTTTCCTTGAATTTGTCCATTGTGATCATTTTAGTTTTTTCGTGAAAAATTTGTCAATTGCTCTGTTAGTGTGATGATGTGGCATCATGTGTGTCTCACAAATACTATCATATAACGACATGTGAATTAAATTTAAAAACTATTTTTATATTTCAAACTAAAAATGATATTAGTAAGAAAAAATGCGTTGAAGGCACAATTAAAATTCTGTTGCTCCCACTTGCAGTAAATGCGACGACGCTCAATGTCGGTGATGAGGGTGGTCTAAGGGGATAGAGTTGTGGTGGTGGAGTGTAGAAGCGAAGGTGAAGTTGGACCAAAGCTTAAGACGACAATAACTAAAAAGCTTTTAATTTATTTAATTGTTAAATTTGAGATTATTTGTGTCTATTTAAGTGAAATTTTGGATATATTTGAAAGTTTTTATAAAAAGTGATATTTTTTAAATTAAGAGTTAATTTTTGGCTATATTTGATAAATACTCTATATTAATTCAAGTAAAATACAATTTGGCAGAGAAAAAACAAAAAGTAAAATACAATTATTTGTACCCTTTTTGAGTCGTCTTATCCTATCATGTCTAAATTAGCATTCTTAAAAAAATAAAGGTTGGACCAGTTAATATTACGATTTAGTGGTATTCCTATTATTGACTTTGAATAAAACTATCATGGCTAGCCCATATGAGCCCATTCTCTTGTTCATTAGTGTAGATAATATCATATATATTAAAAAAATCACAGTTTATGAATCTACTAAGGAACTGAAGTTGTTCATTATCATCATATTTCCTCAAAAAAGATTTGGTACAAATGTGTTTCAATTTGTAGAATTACAGACCCATTTGATAATCATTTCAATATTTTATTTTATGTTTTTCAATTTTCATATTTAAAACTGATAACTTATTTAGTAATTGTTTTAAAATGTTTAAAATAATTACAATTGAATGCTCACAAACTTAGCTTTCAGTTTTTATTTTTATAAAAACTAAAAACAATTACCAAACAAATTAATGAATAGGTATTAAAAGTATATACAATTTGATCCACAAAATTTAAATTTTTAAAAATTTGTTCATCCTTCCAACACCAAGAAAACATGTTCATCCAACGAAATTAAAAAAGGAAAAAAAACCACAAATTGGAGAAAAAAAAAGAAAAAGAAGCTTATGTTCTGTCTTTAAAGTGGAGGTTGGAACACCAGATGTAAAAGATAATTTGTCGAATAATGATAGAAAGATTAAAATTTTAAACCAAATTTATAAATCAAATAATATATCATCAATAAAAAATAAGTATGTTAATCAATATTTAATTAATAATTTAATTATCAATAACTACATTATTTTTTTAACAAATTTAATTTATAAAATTTGATATTCGTAGCATTATCTTAAAACAGCCATTTTGTTCGTGATATTTGTAGAAAAGATTCCCAGACACTTTTATTTTTTGTTGTACAACCTGTCACTCACAATCCACGCTTGTTAAACTTGTAGGGCCAGTACCACATTGGAGACATAACCTGCCATTGCCAGAATGATTGTTGATCCATTGATCCCATGTTGCTCAGCTCCACCAACAACGATGGACTCAAATTTAACGAATTTTCCTTCTTCCCGGTCTTGTCATGTCGAATTATATGACAAAATAAAAGGTACAGTAAATAATATCATGATTAATTTTTTATTGTAAAAATGTGATTTTTATTAAAATAAATAGTACTGGAAGCTTTTCATTAAAGTTCCCT